GACACAAAAATTAAATGAACAAACCAACAAGAAAGAGATTGTTAGAGACATCCAGTATTCCAGAGCTCACTTGTCAGATGCAGCCAACACAGTAGCTTGTATGGTCAGAAGATTTTTAATTCTGAGCATCTTGGAACTGCTTTACATTTTAAATCTTAAAGCAAGCACTCTACATTGCTCCCTGTGGTCCATGCAAAAGTAATGGTTTGGTACGACGCTCAGTGGGAACCCATGCCGCTGGCAAAGTCAACAGCACCATTTCTATAGCAGATTCTTCTCCAACAGCTCAGTGATTCTGGTGTGTTCTGCTTTGGACATGCAGTAAGATCACTGCCCAAGCAAGTATGACATCTACATCAGAAAGAGCCACGAATGCGCTTTGCTTTGCATCATCCCACAGAAATGTGCTGTTGAAAACATATGGTTAGAAAATAATGAATGAGAAAAGCATCACAAACCAGCCTGAACCATCTTGTGCCTACTTAAAATCTAGTTGTGTGTTCAAAAGAAAAATGATGTCATAGATGAAATGCATTTTCCTGCAGAAAAGCAGAATTCTGTCTTCTCTTTCTCCATCATGTGGAATGTTCCCATTAATGTCTAGCATCAGATGCACCAGAAAAGACTTGGAGACTTTATTCCAAAAAATAACTAAGGATTTAGGCTACTAGTCGTACAGATGATTACTTACTACAAAAGTCAGTTGTTTTATACTTAAAAATAAATAAAGATTGAAATATCTCAAAGTATTTCATTTTACCCTTAACTAAATTGCATCTGTGTGCTTAACGTTAACCTTCCCATTCAAATGTCATTAGCTGCTAATTAAGATGTTGATATGCTGATTGTATATCTTGCAGTAGAGATGATTTGCAGGCACTTACTAGGTGTTTATCAAACTCCAGCACACGTATTGGTTTAGCCTAAGTGTGGCACATTTGATTTAATGAACGTTGTCCCAGTTATTCACTCTTTATTTCTCATACATAATGAGCAAAACATGGCAAGTTGTCAGGAATCGTCATAGAGAAGAAGAAATGTAAAGTAAGTGACCTAGGCACTCTTGTGCAAACAGTTCTTACCTTTTGAGTTCAATGAACCTTGTTTAGAAATCTCTAAAACGATCCCAGCATATTAATAACAAAACGAATAAGCCCTTTGAATTTGTCTACAACTTACATTTTCCCATAGTCAGGAACAGAAGGCTCTTTAGTATTAAAGGTTTGTTTCAAGCAACTTCCTTGTTACTAACAAGAAGAGTTTAAATCAAAGAAAGGCAGCGATGATTCTGCTCGTGCAAAAGCAATTCTGCAACCCAGGGTACATTTTCACAGGACTTTTTAATATAATTTATGAATATTTGCTCGCAACATAATTGTCTTTTCTGCTGACATTTTCAAAGCAACACTGTGATTTGTTGGGTCTCCTGAGAGTCCGAGTACAAAACTGATAATTATATTAAATATACATAGACAATAAAGAGTGTGTTTACATAACTATGCCCATAAATATCTGATTGAACAGTCATTGTTCTCAAAACCCTTTTAAGCAGCTCTCAGAGGGATCCAATTCTAATGACATGATGGTTTAAAAGATGTTGCTCAGTCTTGTTCCATATTTAATTAACTTTCCTTTTTTAAACTTGTGATGGTGGAGACAATAACAAATAGCTCTGAAAAGAGAGTGAGCTTTGAAACATGAGTGAGACCTTGTCAGGCTTTTGTGTGCCACACACAGAAGAAGATCCGCACACGAGAGTTGGGGGCCAGGGACCACCCGGCTCCTGGGGGAGGGCATTGCTCTGGCATTCACAGTTCACCACTACTAAGAACAACAGCAATAACAATAATAACCATTAAAGAAATCTTCCGCATACAAATACGGGAAGCAACATGGAGAGGGAAAATGGATGTATTAAATGGCATTGGTAAAATAGGCCTAAACTTGTTTATTTTTGCGCTGCCACAGAGCAGTGAAGCAAATACTTTCAAGAGAACGGCACATTGCCCACTAAGATGTAAAGGAACATTAATTGAGCATCAGCGTATGACTGAACACATTAGACAGGAATCAAGGTAACATTTCTGAATTCATGGACGGTCTTATCCTACGGAGTCCTTCACATCGCCTCCTCCTAGACAGGGCTGCAACAGCAGCACAATATTCTGTTTTCACACTGAGCTATTTTTAATTGTCACCAATTATAATTCATTTACTTTTATGTGTCCTGGTTGTCACAATATTAACATTTGTAAGTCTTTCCCTTTGCAGGCTGTGAGAATCTGTTGTGACATCTCAATAAAGTGGGATTCAATCAAGGTGTGAATGAATTGTTAATCTTGTTATAAATAGAAGGTGCCATATGTTGGTAAGGAAGGGACGTCTCTCTTTTTCTGTTGTTGAGGACAGGGGTAATGAAACAAAGTGAGTGGTCATGCCAGAATTACTAATAAAAGCCCAGCCACGGAGACATGGAGAGGACTTCAGTTTTCCACGTGCTATCGAGAAGGAAGTGATCGCTATTAATGTGTCCTAGTCAGGGCCTTTGAACCATTCTTTTGGGTTTGTAAAGTAACTCCTACATCAGGGAAAGCAGCGAGAGCACTGGACTTGGAGTGAGCCAAAGAAACTCTGATAACCTCCCTGTCAGCTGAACCACCTAAAATGGACTGAAAAGTCGAACTTAGGCAACCGGCTATGAAAACGCTTATGATGGTAAAAATTCCTGTTTTGGGTAGCTGAATGTCATAAAGGCTCAATAGATATTTACTCCTGGATCATCTTTTGTTCAGATAAAGAATCACTGCGTTTCCTCATAAATCCAGTGCTCAGGTATTATCTGGGTCGATCACTTCACCTCTGCAGTAGAAATTCAGTACTTATACCTGCTTCAGGTCTGTGACATTTCCTAAACCCAGGTCTGGCAAACAAGGAGGACTAATCATTTTATTAAACTATCACTTACAGTAAAACTCATGTCCACTTGAAATCTTGGGAATGAAGTCAGTCTCAGAGGTAAAAGGATACCTTGTCCATCAATCTGCCCACACAACCTTTGAACAGATTTATCCTTTCACATTAGGTTAGGGGTGTGAGGAGGGGCTTCTCTTAGCTTTCGCTGACCCAGGACAGAGAAAGGCATGCCATAGCTGAAACCCACACACGCACACAGAGAGCCGTGTCTCGTCTTCCAACAGGCAAGATGATCTGCCTCTCCCGTTGATTTTTCTAAACGCTGTGGTAATTCCCCAAGCAATACTCAGTTCTCATTGGGAAGTTCAGATGTCTCCCACAATCTATTTAAACAGCTATTTAGGTATCACTGAGAAACCTGTTCCTTTAGAAAAGGTAAGAGGATTCCAGCACTCGATACCAGCAGCCAGCTCTCAGAAGCCGCCCGGGGCTGCCTGCGGCCATCAGACCCCTCGGCTCCCCCGCACCCACCTGAAGGGACAATCGATGCATAAAGTCTTCATCTCATTTACTGTTGCTCTGTTTACTGTTCCTTTATTTACATATCTAGAAATTCAACATCTTTCCATGTTTTGCAAGCTGTCATGACATGAGACGCTAGTAATATGCTATGTTTTGCTTGCTAACATATTTTTGACATATTTTAGCTTTTGATTATAAGATTGCAACTTTCCCAGCTACCATCTGTCTCAACTCAGTGGCACCCTGGCATTTACAAAAACAGTAGGGTGTAATATTTCTTATATACTTGAACTCTACTAGAAACATGTTCTTTTCAGTCTTAACCAATATGTCACACTTTCACACATGAAGGCTGAAATGTCTTATATGCTTTAAGGTATCTGTCAAAAATAAAGAACATATCACATTCAATTTGGCTGAGATGAGTAATATATTAATAAGAATGGGAACACTTTCTGACTTATAAATAGAACTGGCATTTTACAAGCCTTGTGTACTCGTGCCTGTACTTATCCTTTTGTCAGCACAAATGAGATATTCACACAAAACCCAGGAATTTCTTTTTAGTTTTTGGCAAAATATGCACAATATTCTCAAAGCTGGAGTTCTAAACATAGCACATTTTTTCTTGGAATATCTGGTAACCAGACACTTTCTGACTTTACTCCTTTCCTCTCCATCCTCCATCTGTGGAGTCAAAATGTGACATTCAGCAAACTGGATATCACACGTTATATCTGCCCTGGCAGCACTAAGTAAGCAGCTCCAGCCATTTGGACCTGTTGTGATGTGCAGATCTTGAACTGCAGTATTTCAGCAACACTGGTTTCCATGGGATAAAACCAGCCATTCCAGCAACAGGGTAAGATACTAAAATAGGTGGAGAATGGTTTTTTTTGGTCCTCTTTTGTAGGTGAGCTGTAGTAGTGGAGGATACTGGTAGGCAAGGAGAGTTTTTATCCCCTTCTTTCTCCTTCTTGAAATTGCAGGCAGTCGGGAGGCAATTCAGACCCGAGCAGAGCTGTGAGGTCTTGTGAGAGGTCCCCCAGGGCCAGGGTGCTAGGCAGCATCATCCCGTGGTGTGCACCGCCTCCGATTCTGCTACCCATGTCAGAGGAGAGAGTGAGGGACATGAGGTTAACGGTGCTACTGGCAGAGTTGCTCCCGGTTGTCAGTACTGGACCCAACTCATGAAGTAATACCACATTGAAATACCATGCTAATTACACACAGAAGATGTGCAGTGACTCCTCTGGCAACCAACATGTCAAGTGTAAAGGTATGCAATTGTTGAGATTGACAAATAAACAAACTAACAAACAAAACCAGAGAACAGTGAATATTACCCGCAAGCACACATTGCTTTGCAGTGGGCCAGCAGATCCGCTTCTACCATCGCATGTATTTAAATGCCTGGCTTTGAGGAAAGCGACCTACTCCTACTGAGCAGTGTACCGGTCCTGATACAATGGGATTCCAGATCATTGGTCCTTTAAGTGCTACGGCAGCAGTAATACTAATGCTACTTTCCAAGTAAAAAGACAAGACACAAGCACGCTCACACATAATGGTAAACTGAATTTATTTCCTTTTGGAAAACAATTCCAGTAATCTCCAGGTTCAGACCGCAGAGTAAACATTAATAACAGTAACATACAGGTTAGTTCAACTGATTCAAGAATTTGGCCGTGTGAAATCATTAAGGAAAGTTTTGAACACTCAAAGCTTCAAATGGTATCCAGAAAAAAAAATTTCTTTGACAATCTACATAACAACTATTGCATATATGGTAATGCTATCTGTCATATCGCAAGGCTTACAAATATATATACGGGCCTTATTCAACTGTGGGTTCCTGCTCTGTGAGAAAGAGTCTCTTCATATTTTTTGCAAGAATCTTCAGCAATAAAAAATAGTCTTAGGTTCATCCGTTTGTATACCAAAAGAGAGATTTCTAGACTGAAGTTTAAACGAAAGGAAGGCCAAACAGAGCTGTAACGGAACATAGCTATTACCTCCTCCCTCCTCCTTGAAAACGACACTTTTTCTTAAGCTATTTTTTTCCCCTCACACAGTATTATTATTTGTATCTTTCTTGAATAGGGCCCAAGTCCACTTGTCTTTATAAGACCATTTTAGTATCAGACAACATAATACATGTGCAACACTTTATATACAGGAAGTCTATCCGGTGCTCAAAAGTTCAAACACATGAACATCCAACAATTTCGATAATACAAGTTTTATGGTACAATACAATGTTTCTGAATAATATACATTAACAATGAAAGTTTCGTGCAAAGAGTAAAACGTGTTCCCTTTTTGTGCCACAAAGAATTCTCTGGAAGAGACGGGCCTTGCACTAACTGCTGTGCTGGGTCATCGTATGATTCTGTAACAAAAATAAAAGAAACAGCTTAGTCACAGGACAAGCATTTAGGTGTGCAAGAAGGATGCAAAAACCAATTCTCCAAACATAGCTCAGAAAATGATGGACTGGAAAGAGAGGATGTTTGAGCCCTGCTTGTTTTAGAGCAGCCAGAAGCAGCGTCGTTATCCAGGAGAGGCGTTTTCCCCAGCTCTTTCACACCGCGGTTCTCCCCATGCGCCCCAAGAAGGGCAATGCGCTCGCTCTAGGTAGGTTTGGGCTGAGCTGCCCCGTGAAACCACACACCAGGGGTCTGGTGTCCGCTTACAGACGGCTCATGGTTTATGCATTACGCAAACGAGAAGTGCATTTATTTGTCGTAAAAGACCTATGCTAATTGGACTGTGCTTTCTAGATTGTGGCACCGCCTCAAAGGTTTTATTGCATTAAAGCCTATTTCCCCCTAAACAGCATGGCACAGTATACTCTGGTAAGAGTTCTTCTGTGCCTAGCAGAGAGCTCCAAGACTGATGAGAAAACAGGAGGGGCTGCCACAGCCCTTCCTTCGGTCACCAAAAACCACAGGTATTTTTCCTCAAGTGAATGCAGTGCCTTATGTGAAGTGACACACCATGGAGTTTGGAGTCTGAAATTCTCCTTTCCCATACGAGTAAGAACCAAATCCAGCAGCAAACACAAGTTTCACCCTCTTTCGTACCACTGCTTTAATCGAGTCGACCGCTTTTAGGGATAAGAGATGCTATTTCAACGCCTGCACTGGCTCAGGTCCTTCACAAGCATGGAGCTAAGAGCAAGGATCCAATCTAATCTGTGTTAAGTCTTCTACAACGTACACTGGATCCACAGATAACTACAAAAACTCTGTGAATGCTACTTCTCAGACAACAGGGCAGTCACTGATCAGTGGTGAATTTTCCCCCCAGTAATCTGGGCCAGATTTGGGCTGGCGACCCAGAGGACAGGGGTGTCAGGTCCCGTGATTTGCTCCCAGCACGTCCAGTCCCTTCACTTGGCTTTATTAAGTTAATCTGTCTTAAAATTCCTTTGGACCAACGCACTTTAGGATGAACCTATTCCCAAAAGACAAGTAATCCTTTTCAATGATCATTTCATCATCTACTGAACCATTCCCTCCAGAGCCACCCCCAAAAAGGCACATGAAAACAGCCTTGGTGAAACAACTGTGAAATACGGCGTGACTGCCGGCCAGCCTGAGAGTCCTCCCTCCCTTCCTCCTTCTCTCTCCCTAAACCGTGCACGTACACAAACAATAGTTCATGGGACATTTGGCAAGGAAAGGATCTTACAGTAAGACTGAGGAATTTTTAATGTAGTGCCATTCTGAAGATTAAAGGAAAACGACCCAGTGACACTCAAAGATGCAATTTCCAGATGTGAATACCAAATGATTTAATGCTGATGGCAGGAATTCCAGACCGTCCAAGGCCAGAGAGTGTTAAAAAAATACACTCTACCACTTGATTTCATCTAGCTTCTTATCCTTCCCATAAAATCATTTCAAAATGCTCTAAAGCAGTAACAATAGCTGCAGACGAAAATGTTGGCTGGTCACAGGTAATGGGCTCTGACTTTAAACCACAAAAGCAAGGAAATGAAGAGTTAAGCCTGACAGTCAGCCCTTCTGTCGTCCTGTTGTGTCCATTTATTGCAGCACTTACAGCATAGCACCACAGGCTTACGGGAGACCCCGCAGTACCCAGAAACAACCGGACAAGTTAAATATGGGGTGGCAGCCTGAATTCTGATTTTTTTTTCTCTGCTTCTGAGTAGGTGAAGTCATATACCAGTTGTTACATTGCAGAGAGATATTGGGGGGTGTGTGTGTGTCTTTTGTTTCTAATCTACTGAGAGCAAGCATGTCAGTCATGCCCATTTTTTTATTTCTTTTCGCTAAGTGAAAAATGCATAAGCAGTCTGAGGCTGGATGAACAGTTGCATATGAAGCAGTCAAAAGGTGTTTTAGAAATACAGCCATAACTCTGGCTGCAATGACATTTTTGATTAAAAAAATAAAAAGGCTGAAATATGAAGGAGACAAAATAAAACAGAGCATAAGGACTGACTTGCCCCTGCTCTCAGCGTCCCTGACTCCCATGCCCTGCTGCAAAATGAGATTCTCTAGAGATAATGAAGAGATAACAGAAAAAAACAAGTGTTGCAGAGAAAAACGAGACAGAGCAGGATACGAACATGAGGAAATGCTTTGAGCATTTTAGGCCTTAAAAAGGCAAGTAAACTTACTGTAAATAGTCAAGACAAAACACAGTTTCCAAAGTAATTAAGGGTCCTCAAACGTGAGGGACTAGGGAGAGATACCTATTTGGCTAAGTGGCAAAAAAATGCACAGTGGAAGCACTTGAGAAGCATAACATTGACAAGTGAAGCAGGCGAAGGATGGGAGGAGAGAGATAGGAAAAGGAGGAAAATTCTGTAATCCCACAGAGAGCCATATTCTGCTCCACCAAAAGCCATCTATTGGAGACCCCATGTCTAAGTGACTGAAAATTGCAAACATTAATCCCAGTTATGAACTGTTGTTGTTTTTATGAGGGGTGTTGTGTTTAAAAATTTAGGGCAAAAATTCTCCTCTGTTATCCACACAGCAGATCTTGACTCTGACAGTCTCTTTGCCTTGTGTGCAGCGAGCTCCCCGCGTGCCCGGCACTGGGAGCTCAGGCAGGCGGAGAAAGCAGAATTTGGAGCTCCCGCCGGCAGGGACACGGCAGGGACACGGGACTGCGGTACACCCAGGGAGAGCACAATATTACAGTCGAGATCCCCTGTGCGGCTCGGAGAGCACGCTGCCCTTCCCTAAAGACACACTACCCAAGCTTGAGCCTCCTCCCGAAACTTCGAACCGGTTTGCCTGAGTTTGGAGCAATTAGTACATCCACTTGCCAAAGAGGGGCCATTTAACTAAGTATAGGAGATATCATATGCTCCCCTTCTTTGCCTCCCCCAAATTTGATTGCACATAAACACATCTGTTTAATTATGAGGTAAGTCTCCCTACGAAGCAAGAATTTAAATTTCCTGCTTAGCCACGGAAAGGGAAAAATATTTTTTTCTTAACATAATCTTTCCTGGACTTCAGCAGTAACTGTGTTAACATTTCCAAGAGCTGTGGTTTCATGAGGAGAAACTAGTTTGCAAACACAAATGCAAGCTTTGCACGCACAAAATGGAGGAACAGCGAAGCAGGAGGTGGGGGTGTCACTGCGTTTGTTACCACAGTAGACACAAACGGAGTCAGGAAAACCCCTACATCCCCAATTTCTCTGGGAAGCAGGTGTACTACCTGGGAAAACCTGAATTCAGTATATTTCACAAGCAAAATAAACTCTTAAAAGACATTTGCCCTGCTCCTAGAGATAATTATTTTTGTTAGCAGAATCCCAAATCCCAACTGTTACGTGAACTGCTATAAAATTATATGCCACCACTTTTCTGGGTGAAAATGCCTTGAGATATTCCTGTTGTTAGTGTTAAGGAGTTAAAAACACGCAAAGATTTCACAATAATGCTAGGTGGAAGAATCTCCTCAGCAAAGAAATATAAAAAGGTTTCTTTGCAGAAACGTGGGAGACAAAAGAGGTAATAACACTTTCTGTTGCTTCGTGTATGTCTTTGTGTTTCAGATAGAACATGAGAAGCATTATCTAGCAAAATGTTCCCACCCACAGCATCAAAATTAACGAAGAAAAAAATAGCCACAGATAGCCACAGACTCACTAGCCCATTAGGATCTTTAAAGTGAGCTGCGGTTGCATTCAATTGAAACGGGACTTCTGTTTTTTATGCCTAGACACGGTTGTACCTGACAAACAGTGCAAAGAGGATACACGTCAAGAAACAGAAAGACGAAATGTAGACGTGTTATTTCAACAGATGGTAACAGTACCACAGCAGCATGTTATTTTTTCCTTAGTCCAAGAACACAAACATGAGTAATCAATCATCACTGATTAAGTAATTATGGTACCCTACATGTTATCACTTATCTGGAATCCTTTATCTGTGTACATTACGGATCGTCTTGTATTTTTTTGCATTAAAAAAAACCTGCAATACAGTTCCAGGTTGTAAAACAGAACTCTACATTACTATCAACCTTTAAGTGCTACATTTTTTTTTTTTTTTTTTTTTAACAAAAGCAATTGGTTTCCAACAGGCTGGATAATAAGTCTTTTGACCTGCATTCTTCTCTGACCCATTAAGGTCACCCCTGTGCTCGGGCATATAGCTGACTTAGGAAATGCCTGCAAGTCCTGCATTTCATCTCCTGCCCACTCAAAATAAAGCTTTCTTTAAATGTGTCTGTACGGGTCCCTGAAGACCAGGGAGGCATCCCTGTAGTGGGCAATGGAGGGACAGAAGCTTCTGCCTTTATTAATGAATGCAGACCATTATGAGTCTGGCTGGCTCCTGCACTGTTCCCAGAAGCATATACTGTACGTGACTTAAAATGCTAGAATATTGACACAAAGCGAGCTGGGCACCCCTAAGGAAAATTACTCCTTGGATATAATGTAGGCTCGTAACAGCTATTAGAGTACAAAATAAAACCCTCCGGGATCAAACTGACATATACCGCATTCTACCTACTCCTCAAACATTAGAAGAATTTCTTTGTGAAGGCATTCTCAAGGACAGCATTAAACTGACTTTTGTACCAATCTGCAACAGCTTTTTGGCTTACAGCTTTTAGTACTAAATCTCTAGTTTGAATCAATATAAGTACTATATCTTCCACATTAATCAATACATTTGGTTCAATACAGTTTCTATTAAATTATACTTTCTAATCAAGATTTTCTGCTTTTCTTCCCTTCTTATCCTGTACCATACTTTTCAAACTATCTGCAGTTAACAAGAGGATGTTGAATTTTCCAGAACCGAAGGGGAAGAAAGAAAGGCTCATGGAAAAGGCAAGCCTAGCAAAAACTTAAGTGCAGTGGTAGTGACGAATCAAAAATGCAGTT